CCCGCGCCGCCGTTGGCCGCTCCGCCGCCGCCCCCTCCGGGCATGGCGTAGTCGGGCAGCGGCTCCTCGGCGGGGCTGGCTGCGGGCAGGTGGCCGCCGGGCCGCTCGTTGCCCCCCGCCGCCGCGTACAGGCTCATGGCCTGCATGTTGCAGTGGTAGGAGCCGGCGGCGGCGGCAGCGGGCTGGCCGCAGGGCGAGCCGTACACCGCGGAGCTGTGGCCCGGAGAGTAGGCGCCGAGCGAGAGGGCGGGCGGCAGCGAGCTGCGCGGGGCGGCGGCGGCGGGGGGCAGCAGGCCGGCGCCCAGCTCGGCCGCCTGCGGGGAGCCCCGCAGCGAGGTCATGATGTTGTCCACGCTGAAGCCCGGCCCGTGGTGGTGCGGAGGGGGGGGAGGAGGAGGAGGTGGAGGAGGTGGAGGAGGCGGCTCGGGGCCCTCCATGCCGAGGGAGCGGGCGGCGGGGAGCGCTCCGCCGCGGGGGCTGCCGCCGCTCGAGAGGCTGCTGCTGCTGTCGGGGCTCTCGATCTTGGGCACGGCGCCCAGCGGCGGCGCGGCGCCCGGCGGGGACACGGCCTGCGGCGGGGAGGCCGTGCCGTTCTCCGTCTTGATGTCCTGGATGCGCACCGGCGGCGGAGCGGCCCCGGCCGCGGGAGGGCCCCCGCCCTCGGGCTCGGCGCCGGTGGCGGCGGTGGGCGGCGGGCGCGGCGGCGGCGGGGCATGGTCCTTGAGGTGCAGGCGGTCCTTCTCCTCCTTGTCCTTGACGGCGTCCTTCTTCTTGAAGCGGCGGCGGCGGCGCAGGAAGCTGCCGTTCTCGAACATGTTGTAGGAATCGGGGTCCAGCGTCCAGTAGCTGCCCTTGCCGGGCTTCTTGTCGTCGCGGGGCACTTTGACGAAGCACTCGTTGAGGGACAGGTTGTGGCGGATGGAGTTTTGCCAGCCCTGCTTGTTGTCCCGGTAGAAAGGGAAGCGCTCCATGATGAACTGGTAGATCCCGTTGAGGGTGATCTTCTTATCGGGCGCGTTCTGGATGGCCATGGTGATGAGCGCGATGTAGCTGTAGGGCGGCTTCACCATATCCTTGGGCTGCGGCGGCGGCGTGTAGGGCCCGTAGGCGCGGGCCATGCCGGCGGGGTACTGCTCGTGGGCCGGGTGCGAATACACGCTCATGGGGGCCGGCATGGCCGCGTAGCCCCCGCCGGCCGCCGCCGCCGCCGCTCGGTAGTAGCTCTGCTCCCCGCCGAGGTACGGCACCACGCCCAGGGAGTTGGGGCTGGACACGGAGTAGCGCGCCTGCATGGCCGCCCGGCAGCCGTCCCCCTCCCTCCCTCCCGCCGCGGCGAGCAGCGCGGCCCTTCCCCCTCCACCCTCCGCCGCTCCGCGGGGCCGAGCAGCGCCCGGCGGCCGTGCGGCACCCCCCGCCCCCCCCGGCGGAGCGAGGGACGGAGGCGCCGGGCTCCGCTCTCGGTCTGCTCCGCGCGAGGCGGGGGGGGGAGGTCAAAAAAAGCGGGGAGGGGGCAAAAAGGGCTGCGAAAAAAGAGAAACGGGGGAGGAAAAAAAAAAATGAAAAAAGGAAAAAAAAAAAAAAAACCAACAAAAAACCAGCAATCGCAGCGGAGAAGGCAGCTCCCAACGCAGGAGGGGGATTAAGGAAAGAAAACCTTTGCGACGCAGCTCCCGGCTCCGCGTTCCGCAGCGAGCTGTCTGCAGCGGGGACCCGGCTCGGGGATGGGTTCTGTGGGGCTTTTTGAAGCGAGCAGCAGCAAGAAAAAATCCACCGTCCGCTCCGCCGGCGGAGCTCCGCGCTTTCTCTCCTCTCTCTTTTTTTCAGTCTCTTTCTCGGTGCCGGGCTGCCTTGGGACGCATCGGAAAAACTCCTGAACTTTTGAGCATCCGTCACCGCCGCGAGAACTTTTTTACGCACTTACGGTTTTCTCCTTTTTTTTTTTTTCTTTCTTTCTTTTTTTTTTTTTTTCCTCCCCTCTCTCTCCGCTCTCTCTCTTGCTCTCTCTCTCTCTTTTTTTTTTTCTTTTCCTCCTTTTGCAGCGGCTCGGCCCCGCCCCGCCGAGTCCGGACGGCCAATAGGGGCCGGGAAACACCCGCGGCTCTGAATGAGGAGGGAAAAAAAACGAGACCGGGCTGAAAAAAAAAAAAAAAAAAAAAAAAAAAAAAGAGGGAGGGAAAAAAAAAAGGAGAGAGGGAGAAAGAGAGACGGGAAAAGAGCTCCCGCGCAGCGCCGGCAGCCGCGGCTCTCGGCTACGGCCACACACGCCGAGTTTGGGGCTTGAGCGGGGCCCCGTCGCCTGCGCGCATTTTGCGCACGTTTTGTGCGCGGGGGGTGGAGGGGGGGAAGGAGAGCACCAAGGCCGCGTGAGCGCCCACCCGTGCGCCGTACGAGCGCGGACAGGTCCATGCGTTTCACCGATGCACACACACACACGCGGAGCTCTCCGCCACGCGTGTTTCTCCCCCTCCCCTCAATTCATTGTTATTATGTTCTCTGTTCGCCCCCCGCTTTCCCTCAATTTGTTATTATTATTTTCTCTGCTCACCCCCCTCCCGCTGGCCTTTCCCCCTCCCCGCATTCCGGATCCTCTTCCTCTCCCCACGCCCGTGGGCGCGGAGGGAATATTCGCACGGTGTACGGACGCGATGCGATGCGCGGCTCTGCTCTCCCTGGGGCGGGGGGGACCCTGCACAGAGCCCGGGGTGCGGCGTTTGTGCCCCACTGCGGTGCCGCTTTCCGCTCCGTGAGTGTCAGGTGTGTGTCACGGGAACGAAAAGAAATAGGCGCAGGAAAGGGGATGCTCCTGATACCGTTTGGCCGGACCTCGTGGCTAGAATTGATTCGTATTGCTGCTGCCTTTGTTGAAATGTCTGAGAGCGTACATGGGCTGTAACGGGATGTTGGGAATAACTCTTCAACGGGAGCGCAGAGGCGGCGAGGGGTGAGGGCTCGGTTCGTTCTTTTCCAGCATCCCCCTCCCTCTCCCCGGTCGTTGCTCCATCGGAGCGAGGAGGATTTCATTTCGCCGTTTAAACCCGGGAGAACCGCGTCCGTGTCCTGCGGGACAAGTCCCGGCAGCCCCGCGGGGACCCGAAGCCCGTTCCGCTGCCCTCGGCCGCTGCCAGCCGGGACCCCGCTGGCGTTCGGAACCGGTCGGCCGGAGGAAGGAGCCGAAATCTGTTTTGTGGGGCGGCATATGTGGGGGGAAAGACGCTGAGAGCGAGTTGGTGCGAGGCATCGCTCACCCGAGCGTGTGACAGCGCCCGTCGGGCCGAGGACCCCGGGGTTCCCCCGGTTCCGAGCCCCTTTCACAGCCTTTTGCTGTGGGGACGCATCCTTCGCTCGGTTCGTTCCTCACACAGCACAGAGCCGTTGGTTATTCAATAGGCACACGCGTGCTTTCAGTGCAAGGAACCAAAGAAGTAATTTATACGGGCTGATATCTGCTCCTTTTCATATTCAAACGTCGCGGGTCTCCTCTTGGTAATAAATGTCAGCGCTGTAAAAGGGAATACCCGGTCCTACACAGCCGTGGTGTTTCACCGTCTGCAGTCCCTCACCTGCTGCTGCCCCACTGCGCGTTTCCCCCTTTCCTTCACGACTGCAGAACGAATAAACGTGCGAGCACTGCGCTGTTTATCCATCCCAACACTTGGTATTTTCAAAAACCGTGTGTCCGTCCCAACACTCGGTATTTTCAAAAGCTCTTTCTTATTTTGCTGAAGAAGAAAAAAAAAAAAAAAAAAAAAAGAGAAAAGAATAGGCAGAAAGAAAGGGGGGGAATAAAGGATCTGTCAGCGCGTCCCCACGCTCCCGGGCCGTGCGATGTTCCCACGGCGTTACCGCGGACACAGCCGTTCCCATTCGCTGCGCGCTCACTGCGCGGTGGACCCTTTGCTCCTCCGGCGATGTGCGGGGCTGTGCCAACACCCGGAGGTTTCAGCTCAGGGAAGAAGGAAAGGGGGGCATTAATCCGGCGTGGTTTGCATTCAACCCGTTTTGCAATAGCCCCTCTGATTCTATAATTGTGAACTGACGCAATTGCCGGCTGCGTGCTAAGCTACATACCTCGCAGCAGCGCGACTCTGGTTTCTGCATGCGGGGCACAAAAGTCACCATTGTGAGGAGCGAGAGTGGCATGTTCGTACGGTGATATTTGGTGCGAGGGCGGCAGGAAGGGCGCCTTTCCCACCACTTTCTCGGGATACCACCCAGAAAGAGGTCTCGGCGCTGGGCTTTCGCCTCCCCGAAGGGCTCCAGAAAGCGCACCCAACGCGGCCTCCGTCTGCCGGCATCGCTCGGTGCCCCACACGGAGCGGGGCTGGAGCCGGAGGGGCCGGGGCCGGGCTCGGGGACCCCGCCGGGCAGCGTCGGGCCGGGGGAGCCGCGCCGCGGGGCTCGGCGCGTGTGTGGCCGCTGGCGGCCGTATTTACGGAGATGTCAGTAAGAAGGATGGCAGCGGAGCGCTGGGCGGAGGGGCCGCCGTCTGACCTGGGCAAAGCCAGGTGGGCCCCCCCGACTCTCTCCGGGAGACCCGGGGGTGACCCGCCCGCCGGCCCCGGGCTGTTTGTGTTTAGACGGAGTCAGAGCTGCATTTCTCTCTTTCTTTTGGCTCCCACATCACAGCGGCAGCCCTGCAACTCCGAGCCCAGCCACCCAACCCGGCTCTTCGCATCTCAGGATGCGGCTTTCCGCGTTCTGCAAACGGAGGGCAGGGAGAGCAGCTCTCATCTTTTCGGGGAGGGGGGAGCAGGAGAGAGGCCATCCCCCCAAAATCTGTGCTCAGCTCTATGCCAGACCCACCCACTCCGGTTTGGCAGCACTGTACCTTCTGCCCTTGCAGTGCTGCGCGGCCCGAGCTCAGGGGCTGTGTGCGCGTTTTGTACTTTATTTGTGCTTGCGTTTGTGTTCGTATTTTTGTTTCTATTATCGTGGGCTGACGACTTCACAGCTGAGTCGGAGTACTATTCCAGTCCCGGGTGGCTTTTGTCTTTAAGACATAAACAACACAGCTTAATACGAAAATGAACTCTCCATCCCTCCGGCATCCTTTAGGCTCTCATTCTTGAATGGGAAATGAATTGCCCTTCACCGTAAATGCGGCAGCGCTCATCGGCTTCGTGTATTTCACGAACGCAACACCTTCGTTTCACCTTTGGTGTCTAAAGGCGAATTTTGCATTTAATTCCAAGAGCAGAGCCGGGGCCATGGACCGGTCGGAACCGGCGAGGTTCCTCGTCCCGTCCGTGTGACACACAGGTGTCGCGGCACCAGGAGCGCAAACAAAACCGCGCTGAGAGGAACTGCTCGCGTTCTTTCTGCACTCGGGATAGAGCGGTGTCACACAGAAAACACTAAGACCAAACCGACCTGCAGCCGCATAAATCCCTTCAATCTAGTGGGTCCCCAACAGCTCCGGCATCTCACGGAAAAAACAACGTTTGAGGACTGAGGGGATGTGGGGGTTAAAAACTCTCTCCTAAAACGACAAAGGAGACAGCCAGACACGGATTTGATTTAATTTTTTTCTTTCTTTTTCTTTCCAAGGTCCCTTGTCCCTTTTGCTTTCCTTTTCCTCCCTTGTTTCCTTCCTTTCTCCGGGAGGGGCGGCGAGGCTGGAGCGGTGCTGAGCCCACCGGCTTCTCTGGAACCGCACGAATGGAACCTCGCGGGGCGGCGGAGCGGGGAGCGAGAGGGAGACTGCTGCTCCATCCCCATCTACTGCCATGTATGCGGGAGGAGAGAGACCGATTTGTAGAAAGGATTTATTTACTCTAGAACGAGGCGGCAGCTCCTCTCTGGGCAGCGATAAGCGCTTGGCGATTCATCACGCACCCGATAGGGATCAGCTCCCGCGCTCATCATTCCCTTCTCTCGAGTATTCCGAGGGCTGAGCACAGGAATGAGTTTGCGGGAGGGCTACGCTGCCCCGCGGCAGGCAGTTGGGGGGCAATGGCTTCTCCGCGCCCGCGCAGCTCCCGCGCCGCACCCTCCGGCCACCTGCGCGACACCGGGCGCTACGCGAGACGCGGGCGCCCCCTACCGACCGCTCCGCGCCGCTCCGCGCACCTGCCGGGCCCCCGGGAGCCCCGCGCAGTGCCGGGTCTGTGCGGTGCGCGGCGACGCGGTGCCAGCTCTGCCGGGGCCGCTATTTCTCCGGCCGTGCCAAGGAATGTCTTTATGGGTTGCCAGGCTTGCCCTTAAAACCTGCGAATGAAACAGTGCCGGTTTCCAGGAAAAGCGCTCCTGTTTTTTTTTTTTTTTTAAGCTGCCCTTTTCTGTCTCGTTACTG